CCCCGCTTTAGCGCTCGGAGGGCCCCGGAGCCCCCTTACCGAGTCCCGCTAAATCACATGACCCACTAACATTAGCGAGCCCTTTCAAGTACCACTAGTATCTTGATTGAATCTTGTCCTCCTTTTTATCTTATCAGAACTTGAACTTCCCGATAGCACTTATCTAGCGCTTTATAGGCACTTATCACACCATGACTTCATTTCCGAATTCTCCTCTGAACACAGAAGATCTTGATGTACGTTTTCAAAGAGAAAAAAAATGTATATTAGTACTAATTAAGTACTTACAATTACTTATAGCATCAAGTGCCATTAATTCGTTTAACAGAGGGAGCTCCAGATAGTCTTGCTTCGGACTATATTGAATATACTACATGCGTACCTGATTATCCTAAGACAAGCGCCCATGGATATTCCTATATTGTTGAGAAAAAAGACTCTTTACATGGAAATGAGAGTATTAAGACAATCCTTGATGAGGTTCGTGAGAGGTACTTGTTAAGTGATTGGAATATATTGATTAAGTACTTGGCAGGTGCAATACTCTAAAGATGAGGTCTCAAGGAAAAATATATATTGTGCATTTTTAAGAGCCCCAGTGCTAAAAGTTCGATTGAAATGTTCAGGAGTAAAGATATGTGAATATCTATCTTCTGGTTTGAAATCAATCACTCATACATCATATAATAATAACATCTGGTCTCAAATGCGACAAGCACAACAAGCCGTTGATTTGACTGAGCCAGATCAAAATCGAAGGAATACATACACGTAAGTACTATACTAATATTTAGAGAGCACTATTTATGTGCTTGACATGTGCATGCTAAGTCATTCTAGGTTTTATTATTCAGTTATGAGTCGTTTTGCAAGCCAAAAAGGATGTCTACAACAACTTGATACCTGTAGTCCAGGCATTCAATACCATCGGGAACCAGTAAGTGCTTGTCAAGTACACATAAAGCACATATCAGGTGCTTATCTCATATGACTAGGATGTGAATGGTGAATTGATACCCTTCGTTGGATGTGTTCATTATCTCAATAACCCTCGATATCATTTTTACCGCCGGCTTCTAGGAAGTCAACTGAATGTTGAGCTCCTAAAGGGGTTATTTGACAATAATATCAATCCCATGCCAGAAGAATGTAACATGATACTACATCAAAAAACGAGGCGCTTAAAATGTGGTAGGTTACTGCTTACTTAGTATATATAAAGTGCTTTTCTGAACAATTTTTATACAGGGATCAACCACCCACAAGGATCTGGAGCCTTACTTAAACTAGGCTGTGATGTTTATTTTTATTTACTGCTTCCTATTGATCAAAAAAGCTGTCCTTACTATGTCTTTCTTTCACAAGGTGTTCATCAACATCCACCACCACCATTAACTAAGACCCCAGCACGAATCATTCAGCGTCTTGAAAAAATCATTTTCAATACTCTCACGCCTGATATGACAACATGTAAGTGCTTTTAAAGCATTTGCCTACTATAATACAAGTACTAATCAATCATTAGCCACATTTTTAAAGTCCCCTGGTCTTCAGCAGTTCTGCCATGAAAACAATGCATTTACCTTAGCAGACGTTCATCAAAGTTTGAATAACACTGATCGGGTTACTGCTATAATTCAAAGACAGAAGCTTTTACATTTTCCAGAAGGGCAGCACTATAATGGAGTTGCCTTTGAAATGCAGATAAATCCTCAGATCAAGGTATGTACTTTGCAAGCACTTCTTTAATACCTTCAGGGTATTAATTTATTATTCTAGGAATATATTCAGGCAAAGTATCAAGATGAGAGTGAATTTATGTTAATCTGTGCATTGAAGGAGCAATTAGAGCTCCTTATAACACTCAAGTCATTTGAAGTTGATATGTCTTATAAGCGGCTCAAGGCTGCTAAATTAAATGAAGTTGTCTTTACAACTTATTTACCAAACCATGGCAAAAGTAAGTACTTACTACTTGATAGGCACTTCATAAGCACTAATACAGTGAAAAATAACTTCAGTCATTACCTTAGTTCGAGTGTTCACCAATCAAGAGACCCCAATTGGATACTATCGACTCTTTAAAAGAGTCTTTCAGGTTATTGCTAATGTAACTGGGCAATCAGTTCACTTCTCGCATATCCATCAAGAAGGCTTTCAAGGAATCGTTTGTGACATGGACAATAAACAAACAAGTGGTAAGTAAAATTTATGTGGAAGCCTTAGTACATGATAAATGCTAATCTAGTGCTTTTTAAGGGCTTGGAAAGTACTTATATGAGCTTGATCCTTCGCGTACTACTGAAGAACATCTTCGTAGTACTATAGTCTTTTGCCAGGTCCACTTTCATCGAAATATTACCAAGGCTGTTGGAAATCATCCCAATCAGCATGGGATCCGTCAAAGAATGGCAGGTTTATTAACCTGTAAATCTATGGAGGACTATTATAAATTACTTGATTTATTGCAAGGTGAGTACTGGTTAGTGCTTGATAAATGCTATTTTAGCACCTCTACTAACAACAAACCTAGCACATGAGACTGATAATGTCTTTCACTGGGCACAACACAAGCGAGATCCAGTAATTGCAGCTGGGTTAAACAAATACTGCTCATTAATTCCATCTGAACATTGGCATTTTATCCGAAACTCAACAAATACTGCAGAGCAAACTCATAATAAATCCTATGCCTTTGGAAGACAGCAATTGCTACTGCCTGCAGTAAAAAGGTATTTAGTTTATGTCTTTCTAGCACTTTATAAGTACTTATAATCTTCTAGTGCCTGGCTTCTTGATAAGCGAGATATTCAACAGTACCTTGGACGTGAAATCTTTGGCATATTTCATACCAATCGGACAGCTAAGATGGAAACTAATTATTTGCGTCATATGCAACGGGATTGTAAGTACTACATTATGCACCTTGTACTAAAGAAGTGCTTGACTGTTGTTTAATAATTGTTCTAATTAATATATATTAGTCTCTCGCAAGCGGCAACACCCATCCAGTTCACCTACTGTGGATGATGATAATGTTCAATTACCAAATGCTTCCGGTATAATATCACCATCTTTAAGGCATGAACAATCATCACCTTCAGTAAGGCAATCTTCCATTCATGAACGATCATTATCAAGGCAATCCTCAAGCCGTGGAAGAACTCCAACCCGGTAAGCGCTAATCAAGTACCTAATAAATGTCATAGGATACTAATTGAGAATTAAGGTCCTCTTCATCTGCACTTCGACGGGTTGCTTCTGCAAACATAGAAGTTCAACAGGCTCAACTTGATATTGAAAAGGCAAAAGTTGAGATTGAAAGAGAAAGATTGAAGCTTGAACAAGAACGGGTAAAGCTTGCAAGAGAACAGGCTGAGGTTCGACAACTTGAATTGCAGAATTTAGAACGTGAGAGAGAATTATACAAAAAATAACAAAGGAGATATTACTCAGGTCCATTAAACACTTTAAAAGGTTCTTTTTTAATGTTTAAAAACAGATTATCCATTCTATAAACATATCTATTGCAAGCACCATCTATTACTCTGCATCAGTTGGAAATGAATTTGGGTCGAAATGACAAAAGTTATCACAACAATCCTCATTTTTGCAGCAGTCTAAGCACTTAATAAGCATATATCAAGCTTTCAAAAAACATTTTTACTTACCCTTTGCTCTCAATCCCTTTGCTGCACAACTAACACATGGAACAGCATGGCCATTGTCCCTGCACCAACGTTGCATAGCAGCACATGATACCTGAGCACTTATCAGACATAAAAAGGTATAAAACAAGTGCTTTTAAGGTACTTACAGTGCCCTTCTTCGTGAGAGGGAATGGCGGCTTGGCATGACCAGGGGGTGTGGTGGCCCTGGCGGGCTCGGGATGAGTGGACTTTGAAGGGCTGGGGACAGGCTCAGGAGGGCCTTCAATAATATTCTTGAAGAACTCTGTTGAAGTCCTTTGTAAGTGCTTGGAAAGTGCCTGTAAAGTAGTTGAAATATACTTACTAACTGCTACCTTCACTGCCTCTGGTTTGGGCCGTCCAGTTCCAGGACTCGCAACATTAACGTTATGGTAGTGTTTCACATGGTAACGCAGGTCATTGGTCCCAGGAAATGCTTTCTAAGTACATAGTTAGCATCAGAAAAATAATAAATAAGTGAAATTAAGAATCTTACTTTTCCACGAATACAGTCTTCCACACGACAGAACAGCTCATCGACATGAATGACAGTCTCCTCATGCTCTCCCTATGCACTTGTTAAGCGCTTTTCAAGCAATAATATAGCATTTATTTAGTACCTCCTTGATCAGAGGTAGCGGCAGGGTTCCAGCAGGCACATGGGCGAGATAGGCTTTGTACGCGGGCTGCTCTCATTAATAATGTATTTATTAATTGCTTCTTAAGCACATGGTTGATATTTCCTTACCACATCTGCAAGTGTAGAAGGCATTATGACGGCAGAAATGGGGACAGTGTATCAATTGCGTAGGCAGATAAAGGATTTCAACATAAGACAGAGTGTAATTTTGGGGCGCCTTCAGTGTTGTGGATCATGTGATTTAGCGGGGCTCGGTAAGGTAACTCCGGGGCTCTCCGAGCAATAAAGCGGGGCGCTCCGACCTATGCACTCTTCGTTCGATTTCCGCGTCTTGGACATCACACATCTAGCTATGAAATCTCGGTTTAGATCTTGTAAATCAACTCAAGGGCATTAAGGATACACGTATCTCAAGCGCTTCAACGCCATGCAAAAAATAAAATGAAATAAAATAATCAAAATGCCAGCTCGGCCACCAGGCCGACCTATGACGATAAACCACTAATATTCAGGAAATGACAGATATCCAGACACGCGTCCTTCAATGTTTTTTCTGTCCTCCAATGAAGCTCGTCGTAGGATCTGGTGGCCACAGCAACACACGAGCCAACATCCCCAGGACGACGCCCGGTAGCCCTGACCGGAATCTGCTTGGAAGAGACCTCCTCCATGACGCTCACCACTTCCATGACAGAATGGCCATATCCTGCTCCGAGATTGAATGTCCGAAAGTTGTCTTTTAGTTTGCCGTCGTTGGCTGCGCTCAAAGCAGCGATATGCCCTCGAGCGAGATCAGTGACGTGGATGAAATCCCGGACGGCGGTGCCGTCTTCAGTCTCCCAGTCTGTCCCGAAAACCTGCAGTTCTCTGTACTGTCCCGTGATGACCTTTACAACGACTGGTAGAAGGTTGGTTGGGATTTGCTTTGGATCTTCGCCGAGAAGTCCAGAGGAGTCACATCCGATTGGATTGAAGTAACGCAAATTTACTATTGTCCACTCGGGGTCTGAAGCGGCTAGATCAGCTAATATAGTCTCGCACATCCATTTTGTGCGGCCGTAGGGATTTGTAATTCCTGTGCAGCCAGGTTGTACGATTCTCTCAACTCCATCGTCGTCTCTAATGACCTGTTCTCTGTGGACACAAAGCTCCTCTTTCAGGGGAAGGCCAGAAGTTGCCAAGGTTCCGTATACCGTTGCGGAAGAAGAAAGGATGAATGTTTTGATTCCAAATTCGCCCAGAGTTGCCGCAAAATCTATCAGTCCGCTTACGTTGTTTGCATAATATTTCAACGGCTCCTGGATACTCTCTTCGATTGCTTTATGAGCAGCAAAATGAATGACACCTGCGATTCTGGACGTGGGATGACCCATTTCAGACGGAATCCGATACTCTTCAAGCAACTGCTGCAGTGCTCGTTGATCTCGAAAGTTGTGGGAATGCAGGTGTAACAGCGGCATTTTGGTCCCCCTCTGCTCATGGTAACTTGATGCCAGAAAGTTGATCCGCTCTAGGGCACTTAGGAATGAGTTGCTGAGGTCGTCGATTATTATCACGTTGTAGTTTGCTTTGAGGAGTTCCAATGCCGTGTGACTGCCAATGAAGCCCAGTCCACCGGTGACCAGTATGTACCGGTCAGACGGAGAATCACTCTGCAGCTCTTCGAAATAGCCATCTCTATTGAATAAAACAGATCTGTCCGTTGCTGGCGAACCTAGAGAAAGTGGAGAGCAAGATTCCAAAGGACTGCTCGAATCATATCGGTCCGGAGTCTCCATGATGGACCAGTTCGAAACATTAATCTTGCAGAAATGTCAATCAAGCAGGACAGATCGTGATGCAAACGGGCTGTTCTAATATAACGGGCGTAGGATGGCTGGTGCGAGTCTACTGTCAGCACATAGAGCAATCACAAAAGGAAATCAGCCTCCAAAAAAATAAAAGAAAAGAAAAAAGGTAGCTACTGTCGAACAAATCCCGAATTGACCGGGCCAGCTGTCGGATCAAGTATCCGAGTACCTACTGTCTGATGACTGTGTTTTTATCAAATCTCCACGGTGTCTCCGCGAGGAGACTGAATTATACTTCGAACACTGTGAGATGGGCAGTCAGAAATGTACCACGCTGAACCCCCAAGTACTCGGTCACAGCCTCTTATGGTGATACATTCTATTTATTCCCAGCCCTGGTGTAAGGTCCAAATGGCAGAAGAGGATAATGATCGCGCTGGGCTGAACTATCATTGCACAGGAATGCAGCATGGAAATTTCCGATGCGGCTAGTTACAGCTAAGTAGGGACCCGGTCTTAAATTATGTTTGTTGTCTCCATTTTCGATATCCTGAGTCACTCGAGGCAAGGATCCCGGCTACCAAATCCCGAATTCTTCCCCTTCTTAAGATTGGGACTTCCCATGACTGCAACCCTGCTCGCACGTTTACGGACTAGGAACATCATGCCAGTGAGAATAATCCTAATTTGTGCCTCCAGAAGAGTCATTATCAGCACCGGACAACATTTCAGGCCATCTCGCAAAGAGCTCTGCTTGCTCTGACTCAAACCATAGCCTCTCTCTAGGAATCTGCTCGACTTCTCTCAAAGCATTTTCTCGATCCTGTTGAATCGTTCCTTACCCTGCTAAATCTGAGCTGCAAGAGTCGTAATACCCGTGCCGTCTAATCCATGTGGCAGCCAAAAACCGAAATTTTCCGTTTCATTCCTCTACATGACTGTTTTGTCAGGTATTGTGAATTTCTCTCCATCTCGTGGTTTCTCAGCGATTGTTGCGTTAGGTTGGCCCTCTTTGAACCAGTTCAGATGCTGCATGTTACATTTACTGAGGAATTCACTGTTCACGAATGTCTGGAATAGCTTTTCAAGGCTGACGCCGCTTCGTACTATCATGATTGTGGGCCTGTTACTGTGAGTATTAACATATCAAAAAGAGAAAAAGAAGCATAACAATGGATGTCTTCATACTAACACGCGAACTACAAGGGTGTCTTGCCATCAATAACGAAGTCATCTTCCTGGCTGGGGAAAGGAAAATTGAAAAAAAAAAAAAAAAAAAAAAAGAGAGAAATGACAGTCCTAGAAATTGTGGATTTTGCATCCGTATCTATTGAGATAGTAAGACAACATGGATGAAGCAGGCCACGAGTGACAAGGAACTCAAAGGTGTCCCAAATTGCTGGTTGCCGTCAGGCAAGTTGCGGAGCATTTTTCTCCAGTCCGGCGATCTAACATAGAGCTGATCAAAGGCCGCAGTTCCAGATACGTAGCTGCTACGCAGATCACACCTTGATATTTCACTGCCAAGGACAGCCTTTGCACAGTCTGTCACTGACTGGCTATACTGGTAGATGGTATCGCGGATTATGGCATTGCTGGTTAGCTATTCAATTCGGGGGCGACGCGCGCATACTTTTAGGTCATATAGGACGTCCACCTTGTCTCGAAACACCGTTTTTTCAACCACTGACAATCTATCAAGTGGCCCATTCGCATAAAGTTTGGGCTCTACGTCGGTCCCGCAGGGTGTCAAATTCCGTTTGAGCTGCTCTGTCAAGAATGCTTCGTGGTCACGGATTTTCCAAGATACTCGTCCCGGGGTACACCGGAAAAAGTTATCTTCGTTAGAGACTGTACGAATGGATATGAACGCTGACCATTGCAAATTTAATTGTTGATGCTGCATATAGCGGGGCATACACCATCGATGTAGCGATCTCTTAGTTTTGACGATTGGATAACGCCGGCAAACAGGCCCGGGCAAGCCCCAGAAATGGGGTTCACTTCTACGCTTGTTTTAAAACTGGAAAGAAGATTATGGAGAACGGATGAATGAATCCTTTTGTCCCCGATATAGTAATCTCCAACGTTGTCCTGTTACATTCGAGTATAATATTGACGACTTCTCCTTGGGTTTGTCCCTTCACGGCGCTATCCATTCCTCCATGTAAGCTAGTAGTTCACGGGCCTCGACTTGCGTGAACCAACAAAAACCATCCAAATACAATTTTCTAGAATAGGAATAGATAGCCCCACCACTATGGTCCGTTTTTACTGACTTCTTAACGTCGAGCGGCGGAGTATGCTCTTTTTGAAGCCACATGAAAGGTTATTCTAGTGGAAAGCATGACAGAAAGTCACCTTCAACACCTTGTTCTCGAAGAGCCTTGCTGTATCTCGTAAAGTCGGAGAAGGCGTGACCATCTATGTGCTCTGTAGCTGCGCATAGGACAAGGCAGTAGAGCATCTTGTGTTTTGGTCATTTTCCTCGTGCTTGGTAGGTGACATCGTAGTATCGGGGGTGAGTCTGTAGTTATGGTTAACGTTAGGCATCCAACAAATGCTCATCAACACATCATTACCTTGGTAGCAATATATGTCCTTAAATAAGACAAAGTTGAGAGACTCATTCAGGATATCATTTACCACTTGGAAGTGAACCGTTTTGGTTGGCAAACAGAATAAATGCCCGTAGTTGAAAGCACATTTCGCATTATTGTAAATGCTAAAAATCTTTTTTTCTTTTTTTTTTTGACTTCTAGACACCTCTTAGCATTGGTTCTTTATCTTATTTATATGCTCCTTGAGTAACTTATAGACCATTATTCATATATTGAAAAATTGAATAAAGTCAAATCTATCGGTTACTTCTCCAGGTATTATTATCCATGGACTTCAATGATGAGTTGTATAGAAGGATCGAGGCTAATGTAACAGTCAATGCAGAGGCATAAACAAGATTCCATATTATTGTGTGACATACAGCTCAGTCTCATCTTGGGCAAGCCTTATATCCCACCCTCTTATCTTTACATGCTGAGCCATATCGCTGCCCAAAATGAACTCCCAAAAACTGGCAAACAGCCGTTTTCTCCAGAGCAAGCGTTCCTGCCTCCTAGCATTTATTGTCCTCGTTCTGATCCTAGCCATCATCATCCCTCCAGCAGTGGTTGTCCCACTTCGAAAGAAAAGCATGGGGCCGAAGTCAAAGGTTTTTGTCCCGCTCTATGTGTATCCTGCTCCTGGCGCGTGGGCGCCTTTGGAGAACGTGTATGTTGCCATCTGAGTTTTTTCGCGTGGTATATGAAGGAGAGGAGCTGAGCACTGCAGAGTCGCCACACACCCGAGCGTTAACTTTACCGTTGTGGTTAATCCTGGCAATGGGCCGGGGCCGGATGCTTTGCCGGATGCGAATTACACGCGCGAAATACCGAGACTTGCTTCATACAATAATGTGCGGTTGCTAGGCTATGTTCCGGTTAATTATACGAATCGTGATATTGGCCTCGTGCGCAGAGATATTGAGACGTATGCTAAATGGCCAGTTAACGGTTCTAGTCCGGACCTTGCGGTCCAGGGTATATTCTTCGATGAGACACCACAGGAATACGATGATCGTGCTTTTGGATATTTGCAGGAACTTAGGGACTTGGTGAAGGGGAGTTCTGGGTTGGGTCCGGATAATTATGTACGTTCTGTTTATCCAGGATGATATCACTACCCTACCTTTTTTGATCATCGTGCTGTTCACAATGCAGTTCAAGCCGTGGTGTGAAACTCTGTGATTATTAACATAACCAGGTATTTCAAAACCCCGGCGTCGTGTCCGACACCCGCTACCTCTCAACAGCCGATTCAACCGTAGTCTTCGAGGCAACATACGATACCTTCCAAGAGCGTCGCAAAGCAAAAGTATTCAAGACCCTCTCAGAGGACGATCGTGAGCAGCTTTGCGCGGTAATACATTCTGTCCCAGATAGCATACAAGGCTCTAAGCTACGCAGTCTGGTCAAGAAGGCCCGGAAAGTTGCTGAGGAAGTCTATGTTACTCATTTGAGGGTGGATTATTATGCGGGTTTTGGGCATAGTTGGGGTGATTTTGTGGATTTGATGGCGGCGTAGGCTGTCTTTAGCAATCTATAGTCATTTGTCTGCGTTATGATATATATGTCTTCGTTTATTCTTTGATCATAGTCCAGTACATCGCTTAAGAAAAAGTGGTATCTGTCATACACCCATACCATACGATATCGTAATTTTCAATTCTATTTCCACTAATACATACTCTAACCAAATATGGCCTAGCCCAAACCCTAAATATATAAATACAGGCTAGCATATGCTGGTCTTCAGACGTAGCTGCACCGTTACCAAACTATCTTCCTTCCTGGAACGCATGCATAAGTCGCAGTCTGCTAAATTCTCCCATTCGACTCGAGTCATTATTTGCTTTTGCCCTTGCATGTAGTAACACCTACATGAGTCAGTTGTCAGCCCGTATTTAAATATTGAGTGTGCACAGGTACTCGCTGCATGGTTTCGATCGGGCCTGGTGAAACGTTCCAATTGATGTGCTTTTTATATCATGCATGATGGAAAGCGACTGAGATAGTTGTTGATGATGTGTGGCACTGCATGGACTTTTGCGCTAGGAAAGGGGCTTGGAGAGGGGTTTGGTAACCCTCCAAGTAAGGGTGTGCTGTAAAGTAGTATGGCATATGTTATCGGTGTTGGATATGGTATTGGATCCTTCAAGTATTATGGATCACATTCCCTCAATCCTACAATGTCACTCATGAGGTGCCTACCCGAGCTTCTCCGGCGATGTACACATCTCGATTGCCAGCTACCAGTGCCACAACTGCTTGAGATCAAGTGACTATGTTATCCGAAGAATCGGTGTTGTATGCACTGGGGATTTTCCGATGGGATTGCCGTGATATCCATAATTTAGTACCCTAGGGATCTATACATCGACATTTGTACAACTCCGCAACTCATTGCCGCCAATAACAATCAACATAGAAAGAATCTAATAAACCTCGATAGTGCTTATGCAGTAATCAGAGGTGCTGTAGCATAAAGAAAAGAGCGACTAAGTTGCTCATGGAGCAACATTCAGATCCGGGTTCTGGTGCGGAGAAAACAACGAGTACCTTCGCGAGAATAATAGCAGATAATCAGTTCCAAGCCCCCTCCCCCGGAGATATTTCCGAAACATATAATCAAATTTCAAAATCTTCTATCTTGAATGATCCGCTATGATCCGCTCGGAAACATGTCCAGATCCTTGGCTCTTACGAATCTTATCGGCCGTTGGACGTAGATTGCAATAATTCTCAGCTTAGCCACACCACATGGTCATCGCCAGCTGACGCCCTGTAGCGGCGTTGAGATGCAGAAAGCTTTGTTCGATATAGGACTGGGCAGCAAGCCGGATGGGGGCCGGTTACACAGGCAAAAGTCTTCAGGCCGAGATGGGCTCAATAAGTTCGGTCGCTCACAAGGCTGACTGGGTGCGGAGTAGATGTTATCAGTACATAGTAAATTGTGCTGGGAACTAGTGTATCAGGTAGGACCGGTGTGTGCTATTTACAGAAAGCTAAGTAGCTTCTCATTAAGTGTACGTGACCCTAATCTATATACACTTGTAATATTAGAATGCTCGTCCGAACATGCTTAGTCCGATTTAACGGTAAGAAGCTAGGATAGTTTATTAACGCATTACTATAACCCAAATAGAAACATTCGAAACATTATAGAACCAATATCAACATGTCTCAATCCAATCATCCAAATTCATATTCTTCATGACCGTCGAAAACCCCCTCGCCCCATCCGACCCACAAACATTCTGCTTCTGTAAATTAGTAACCGCAAGCGAATCGTTCACTTTATTACCCTTTGGATACTCAATATGAAAAACAGGCTTCCCAGCGTCAATAAACTTCGCATAAGTATCACATTCCTTATACTCTCCACACTGCTCATTCACACTCCACTGCATGTTCCTTATAACATACGGAATAATATCCCCCGCATTTTTCAACCCCATAGACATATCTCGCACATGCGTCTCATTAGCCAACCAATTGACATAGTCCGCAGCATCCGCGCGCGTCAGGCCCAGTCCGTTGTGGTTATCGTAGCCATCGACATTATCCGGGTCGACGCCGTCGCAGCCCTTGTCGCGGGCTGTGTCTAGGCGGGAGAGCATGATTCTGCGCACATTTTCGGAATTGATGTCGAGCCAGCGCTCGCCTGGCCAGCCAGCTAAGTTTGAGCCAAGGTCGGATTTGTGGAATTGGGTTCTGTCGTCGCGCCAGTCTTCATAGCTTCCAGCGGAAAAGTAGCAGAGAACCTTTCGGCCATCCTTGTGGAGCTGGGTAATGATGTCTTTTGTGTTGTAGAAGAGGTCGATGTCGTATATATCTGCGTTAGTCGATGTATCGTCTAGTTGGTAGAGAATCATGATTTGGAAAGTCGACCCGGCTGCTGGCTGCCATCTCGTAGGTGTTGGAGGAGTTTCTCTTGGCTCCCGCTCCTTATCATGCTTCAAACCCAGTCCCAGTGCGATGCCCAAAACCAGTATAAGAACAAGTAGGGCCGAAACAAGAACGATGAGCTTCTTTTTAGTCGACCAGGTCTCCCAACCACCCGTAGACTGACCCATAGGTGTCATGGTGAAGGGGGTCGCCATAGCAGGCAGTTGGGCATGAATATTGTGCATGAAGTGACATATAACGGTATTTTAGACATGGTTAACTGTGAATCTTGGTCGTGTCAGACATGAGTGATCACGAGATCTGGCTCGTATTCCTGTCACACTGCTCCTAAGTAGTAACTGATATGTTCTGTGCTCAATACGAGCCGGTAGTGTATCGTATATTACGAGATTTAGGCGGATAATGCGGTGTTTGTACCTGAGTAACCCTATCTCTTTGGATGTACAGTGGCACGTTGCCAGCTCATTTGTGGCAGCGAGCGGATCGTAAACACCATTTAGTAGAATTATGCTAAATAATAGTTATTATTTTGGCTGTTATTATTACATAATAGCATGAAAGGGTAGAAGCTTGAAAGCATTTGGATCATTGTAAGGTACTGAAAGAAAGGCACTTGATTGCTACATTAAACCGCATTACTTCTCGACTGAAATATGAATAAAGCCCGAGCCTCACCACCCTGTTTTCCTCCTACGCCTATTACCGATCAGCCCACAACACAACTTCAGACCCAGCAATAAATTAGAACGGAATAGGCTTCGACAGCGTAAAGGTAACCGGTGAACCGGAAAGCTTCACCCAGACTGTCAAAGGATCGCTCCCGATCTGTTCAGTTTTAAATCCCTGTGTATCGGTTGGGGGAACAGAGAACGTCACTGGAATATCTGCCGCGCAGTTGGCATCTTCGGCGGAAACCGTTACGCCGGTAATCTCGCGGTTTGACGTAAGATAGCTCATGTTGTACTTGCATTGATCGCGGGTGTAGCGAGCGAGGTAAGCATCAGACATCTACAAGTGGTCAGCTATAGTTGTTATGATAATAATAATCTTTATTATGTGTACGTACCTCTTGATGTGTCGTGCTGACCATGGGCCAGTCCACCAGGCGGGTGAACTCTTGGACCTGAGTCTCAACCCAGGCTTGGAAGATGGAATAATTTCCAGTATTGCCATTGATTGTAATAGGCTCAACATTGGTATTGTGGAGGTTGGCCTGGTGGAACATGTACGGTGAGTGGGATAGACCAAGCAGACGAACCATGGTGTCGCCTTTCTCCGCGGCGAGCAAGTCATCGAATTCACCATTACCATAGTCACCAGTGCCGTGAGATGTCTCGATCCACTCGTCCACGGTACACTTGGGTGAGTTGCAGTTGTAGTAGATACGTGTGGCCCAGCGAGGGTTCACCTGCATACCAGCAAACCCATCGTCTTCGGCAGTGGTGAAGTATGGCCACATGCTATTTTTCTTGTTCACAAGCACAGACCGTGTGTTGTCGCCAACGCAGTTCCGAACTCCGTTCTCCCACCACGCCTTAAGAGCATCGCCGTTGTGCAGTCCAGTAATAGCAGGAGGGATAATGCCCTGGGACGTGAATTTCTTAGCTGAGGAGATACCGACTTTCTTCAGCCAAGCCTGGTTGTAGAAGATTTCTTTGCTTGCGTCAGTGTAGGTGGCGTTGTTCAGCTCCAAGTGAGTGAAGGTGTGTGAGATATGCGCAAATCTGTCCCGGTTGACCTCGTTTGTCCACCAAAGCAAAAGCTCGTCACGATTGGTGCAGGTCGAAGACCATGTGTACGCTGTTGTCCGTACTGGCCAGAGGTCGGTTCCTGTGCCCTGTGGCTTTTTAAATTCCATATCCGTGTCAGGAGGAGATTCATACTCGATCCCACCGCCGTTACAGATAGACTCTCCCTCCTCCGTCATACTGGAAGCCTCAATATTACCGTTACCATTATGACCAATTTCTATGAAGTAGTCACTACCGGGGTTCATTTTGGCCCTGATCGACGGGAGCCATTCGACAATGCCGTCCATGTCCGCGGGAGTAACACGATAGACTGTTCCTGGGGAGTTGTAGATGTCCGACTCAAGGAACATGTCATCAATCTGTGTATTCAAGGTGACACGACGCTGACCAGCGTGCGTCCCGCGCGTGATCCAGTTAATCCAAGCATGTTGAAGATAAGTCGACGTCTGACTCCACGTGGTATTGCTCGAGATAAAGAAAGCCATCTGCTGTCGGCCGTCAAAGTTGTTGATGACCGCAGCAGTGGTCTTCGTAGTTATCACATTGTTCTCTGCAAATTGTGCGATTTCTTTGGTGCTCGTTGCATTGGTGATAGTAGCCGGGTAATGATAAAGACCTTTGGTCGTGACACCCTCGCCTATCTTCAGGCCTGCTGTTGGGAACTCGCTAGTATCGGAAATCGATACCAATTGCTCCACGTCATTTGCACAACAGCCTTCACCAGCAGGGGTGGTACCGAATTTGTCACCAGGATAAACATCCTGATGGACCAATCTCACACCATATTCAAGCTGGTAGGCATAGAGTTGATTCCATTGGTCTGGAGTCAAAGCACTCTGGAAGCCACGCTCTTGCCCATAATCATAACTCACTTCAGAAGTGACAAAGATGCCCCCGAAGTTACCACCCTCGTTGCCACTTAGTGCTGGCAGCTGGATCCCGTCTTGAGGAACAAGCAGCGCGGTGAACGGCACACCATAGGCATTAAGGCCCGAAGTTGCGTCGCTTGCAGTGGCATTATCTTTCGCAATGACCAATATGTTGGATGAAACAGGCTTGCTGCCAACCGGCGGCGCCGCCGGAGACACACTAGAAAAGAAAGACGATGGGATGAGAGACATGGTGGGCAGATTGTCCAAGACCAAATCTCCCTATGCCGTGCCTGGGTGAGGAATGGACTCGATTGGACAAGAGAAAAGCGGGCGATGACGACGAGTAAAAGAGTTCCATGGGAGCTGGAAGAGTAGAGCAGCCAAGTAACTCGAGCGTTCTGTGTAGTAGCACCCGTAAAACTTTAGACAGCACACACGTCTAACTTCCTTGTGACAGCATTGATGAGAGCTCCTGGTCAGATAGTGGATATCGTATCATGGTCGCTCCGAAATTTAGCAATCTAGGGCGAAAGCATTTGAATGTGGTCCGAATTTCACTGTCCGCAAGATTTAATATATACCAATTGAGCTACCAGGCTAGTAAACTGATAGAGCACAGATGACAACATCTTACCGGCTCCATACATAGAATGCTCATGAGAAGCTGCTCGTAGGAGGCCATTTGGTTCCGGGGTTTCCATTTTCTATGGTTGCCAAGCTTAGAGGACGAGATGGATCTCAATCATTTCAGGGATGGCATGATCTCAGAGGAGCAAGTTGCCTTTTTCCTGTGGCACATGGCTATTGGGGAGTACATTCACAGCCCCTCCCCCCCCCAAAAAAAAAGAGCTTTTGTAGAAACGCCATGTGCTGACAAGCAACGTCTCCGAGCAATGACTGTGAACGATATCACTAGCACCTCGTGACTAGTTATCGAAGTTCTTGGGTTTAAACATGATTTGCTCCTTCAGGCAAGGATTTAAGTACGCTCTATACATTGCCTTGCTCCGGATGAAAGTGTGTTTCAAATTATGGCATCCGTGAACGTCAATTCAAGCCCTCCCGTTCAGAAATAAGTAAGGCATATCATAACAACCAGAATACCTAGCTTGCCATGTGGATATACCTTCAAGGCAGCCAGGGAAGTGGAAGGCTAAACGCGACCTGGCGTGGAAGACGTCCCGAAATGGAAGTCGTGGTTATATTACAATTTGTGTATTTTACGGTATCCATAGGTGTATTTGCAAAACATGACAAGCCCGCTATTCCTAATCAGGAAAATCTGAATATCAACTGTTTTCTCTGGCTTTGCAGGCACCAAGGTTGTCTTTTTCCATGTCGCATACTCATTTCTTCATTGGGAGAAATACATACCCTCTCATATGAATAGAGAGCAACCGGACATTTTCAATGTGCGCAATGATGCAATACGGACACCACTGCGCTCTGCCCTTAACGGGAAAGACCGGGGACATGGTCAGCAGGAAAATATAGAGGTCTTGTCGTACAACTATTCAGGTGCGGCTATTACTGTGTTTCAGAGCTCGAAGGTCCATCCATTAGAAATTGTTCCTGGGGGTTGAAGGATGGTGTTTGTTGATGTCCTCGAGTCGGTACAACGTACAGGGATCAATGGCCTTTCCTATCGAGTACTCCGATGGGGCTGTCGGGCTCGGATGATGAATATGGATAAACTGTGACCTATTGCTTACCTGCAGGCTCTGCAACAGTGACAAACAACAATCGCTTTCGATTACCAGGTGTCAAGTCAAGTATTGAGCATGACCATTGCAAATTAAACTTGGCCATCATCATACAACCATAAAGCTGGTCTGGCCGTGGTTAGCATTTGACTGGATCTGTGGCTGGAGACTACTTTCCCGGAGAAAGGTCTGAAGTTCTGAGTCAAGTGGTGGCTCGTTTTTGGTATCTTTGACATGCTTCTCTTCCTTGCTTTTTATTCACATTTACTTCCTCTCTAAGAGAATTTATACTATATTTCTTGTAATGCTCCGCCATGATACAGATACTTGACGTCGTGCCCGTAGGATGGCATGGGATGAGACACCACTGGTGGCAGTTTGTGAGTCATCCTTGACCCTTACGATATAAACCAACGCTAACGATAACTTCTAGGTATTGATCGGTTTTCTGCTTGGTTCCTTCACTATTGGGTTTGTGTACGTGATTCAATATGCGGTTAGAAGGTGCTTCAGTTACTATCAGGTGGGACGAACCTGCAAACATCCTAAAAGCTTCCTCTTTCTAACCCAATGACTTACAGTTGAGGACATGCTCAGAGTCTATATCAGAAGATATCTCCAGCAAATTGGACAGACTCTCAGAGCGACACTTTGCTTTGGGGAACTTACAGGCAATCAAGCGTAAGCCATCGTCTTTCGGTGCTTACCTAGGAAGTTTCCGCACACCAGTAACGGAGCTGCAATACAGAGTTCTAAATCAATGGGACCTCATAATCGTCAATCCGTTTCAACCAGGTGTTATTGATGCTGTTTCCAAGTTTGGAACAAAGCCGGTACTAGGCAGGGTGGATCTGGATCTAATCATTTTTCGAGGACATTCAACGCTCGCTGGGATTGAAAAACTCGAAGATATCCTCTTTGGTGCCTTTTATGGCAGGTCCTTTAGCGGGATCCTGTTTTCAAATTGGGAGTGCAAATTCCCGCGAGCTGTTTGGATTAGGTTGCTTGAGATTATCGAAGGCTTCGGATTGGCAATCTACCTGGAAACGTGGCCACCGAATTTTCTAAAAGACAACGGTCAACTTCGAACCAATGCAATTTCTGGTCTTGTCATCAGGAATGCGAGCATCTTGCCAAATGGAGAGAAGCGTGATTATTTTGAGATGGCGGATATGCAATCTACTATCAAGGCTTTTGTCTCAGAGGCTTGCACCAGGGACTTCGTCGTAATGATCTGGGAAACAGTCGACGATAATGCTGTAGTATCTAATGCAGTTATACGGCGTTCATTGCAATGGTGCAGCTTCTACAGCGCATTATGCTGGACATGCCGCCATTCTGCTCTCTATGATACGACTCTCAGTACTAAAACAATCGAACCACTCTCCGCGTTTGGATGGTTGAAGCATGCAGACACCATGGCGGCGCACACTTATTGGCGCCTGAACACCGATATCAAACGGGACTTTGTCGACATACCTGGATGGAATACTCTACGGGGATACTTCCCAAGCCTCGACGCTGTACTTAGGTCGGCTAGCTCGCAGGTAGAGGTCATGGATGATCAGTCAATAACCGTCCGTGATCCGTCAAATTGGTCAACAGTTATGAGTTCTCACGACAGCCCATTATCTGTGTCATTCACGGAGCAGAGTTATGACTCATGCGGCTGCATTCCATTGGGAATCGATGTCGCGCCTGTTGCCTTCGCTGAAATTTTGCAATCCCAGCTACAGCTCAAGTCCCTGGGCCTTTCCGATTCAGTTTCCGTATCCAAAGTTCAAAGCATCGGCATCCTTCTGCGGCAATTCTGTGATCATTGGGCAGTTAACAGTGGGCCTGTAAAATCTATCCAAGAGCTAGCTGAACTTGCGATTGATGGTTCACTATGCATAAACCTCGGTATGGACTCTGGGTTCCGCAAGGACACCGACTCTCGACTTTGGGCCGTCTACCAAATTGATTCGGCGGGAATCGAAATCTTCGTCTCGAAAGATGCCCAGGATTTGGAAGGCACTGTACTACATACATTTCTGTCTGCGAAAGGCCATTCTCGACAAATTTGCTTTGAAGCGGAAACTGCGCTAGGAAACTGGTTGGATAACCTTGTTGGCAACACAGGCCTTCCACGGCGAATCGTGCAGGATATCGATGCTCTTAGCCCAGAGGAACAGCTTCTCCTGCTCCAACACCTGACGGTAACGTATTCAACAGACGGAATATCCGAAGCCATCTGTACGTACATTCGAAAGCAACTTGTCGACGCCCCATCTTTTGTCCAGCTGAAAGAGCTCAGCACAATTGGCTTCCTCAGCGGCTCCGTTTCTCCTGAAACTCTGGTACGCACCCGGGTAAACTGGTACAAAGAACTACAGTGCCAATATCCTTCAACTTCGACATGCCTCGCTTTGTTCAATGAAGTTGATGTCACCTTCACTCGAATCTTGTCTGAACGACGGGAACAGGACCTCGCTCATATTACCAGCTCCTTATGTGACATTATCAAAGACCATAACATTGATCCGTACACTGATATTACAGCGCTCTCGCTGTTCTGTGCTGCAAGGAAATGTGCATTTGATGAAATCTACACGGAAGTAACAGATCGGAACCCTCTCTTTGGTATTCAAAACGATCAGGCTGCCGCCTTTGCGGAGGCATTCGCCCTTGGATCGCGCTGTGAAGCCTACTTTGATGTCTCGCCCAGTGTTTTCGGAAAGTTGTTGTCAGACCGTTTCAGGTGCCAATATTCCACACGTGAGCTTCCTGACTGGGTCAATGGTGCTCCACAGGTAGCTACTGCGTACGCTGGGGCACAGACGGATGTGGATCAAGTTTACTGTGTCAGACCGATGTCCCCTTATCAGCGCTTTACGTTTCTTAGTGCATTTGCCGTTCCGGCTTTGATTGACATCCTTCTACTCACCATAATCGGTCGAGGATTGTATCTCTCCACGTTCATGACATACGATCAGCAACAAAGTGCAACACTTGCAGTGATGATATCACTGTTGCTGTCAGGTGCTATTGGATCATGGATTGCGTGCGGTGGCCCGTACTACCTCGCCTCTATGGCTTTTGCTGCTGCGAATATGTTCATCCTGACCCGACTCATTGCTGGCATTGCTTTTACGATTGCAACTGGTCTTGTCGCCTTCATTGCCATATCTGCTGGGAGAGGTGCCGCCGCTGGAATAATCTTTTACCTTTACTTAGTTGCGTTGACAACCTATTTCTCCGTTTTCGCTTCCCTTGCCAGCTTCAGCTATCCCAAGTCGTCATTTCTATCTGGGCGCAAGATTATCTTCTACTGTGTTCCGATCTTATTCATCAGTCCGATTATCACTACCTTTACAGGCCATGACGTCGCTATTTATCTGGCTGTTCTTTACGCCTTCCTCGGCTGTCTGCTACTTGGTCTTCGGGCAGTCGCTTCAAAGTGGGTAACCTGGTACCAGAGAATTCGCAGAACCGACGATACTGAGATTCGAATGTGGTACATTTCGACCTACAAAAACAATGACGAAAAAGCACTTGATGGTCTTAGCGATCCGGCCGTTCTCAAGGTAGCAAGAGATACGCTGCTTAGGGATGTTTTTGCCGAAAGAGAAAGGAGATCATCATCCAGAGCCAAGCGCAGTGGGCTTGTCTTCGAACTTGCGAGAGATTGGGAGTCGACCAATTTTCTGCTCGACTGGTATTGCAGGTATGCTGATGTTCCGCGGCCTATTGCGTTTAGCTCGTCTTGGAATATTCAGCTCAATGTTGCACTGGATACACTCCGCAACTCCCAGAAAGGCCTCCGTCTGCACAATGCCTTTATTCACTGGCGACAATCAGGTAAGGAGATTGGATGTGGAGTCTTATACTTTGTTATCGCGCTACTCGATAAATGGGTAGAGCTTCTTACTGGCGGCCACCTTGTCGGACTCTCCACTTCGTTGAGGAATACATCACGTATGGCAATCGGATTTGGTCTGGCCTATTATCTGGTTGGGGCTGTTTTAATTGACATCAAAGCCCAGGACCTCGAGGACCTTCTTGGAAAACAGACGCCCATGGCAGTTAGGACTGCTCAAGACGCACGCATTTCTCAAAAGCGCTATACCAGGTTCAAAATAGCCGTGTACTGGAGGACACTATTCAAATTCCTTATGTGGCATACCTGGAGTCTCGCTATCTCAACATCTCTTGTCTGGACTTTTCAGGACTCTTTGGAGGCAACAATCACGTTCCTTCTATATGTGCTCGCGTACACCGGTCTACTCTGGTACCAGTACACCAAGATATTTTCTGGTCCTTATGCCTTAAAGCCGCTTCTAGCCGGTGTTGTTGTTGGTTTGCCTATTGGTATTGCGCTAAAGCAGTGTCTGCCTTCATTCCAGTATCCCCAGGTGATAGGACTTGCAGCTGCCACCTGGACTGTTGCGCTTCTTTCACTGTCCACGGCAAAGTTAGGGATGCCTAGGAGAATCGACTCACTGGAAACTCCCAGCGTGTCATTTCATGCGTATACTACGCCTTGGAATGATCCTGATTGGTCGCAGGAGGAGCTAAATTCCCTTTGGCAAAATTCATTGCAGATATCACCCCACTCTCGCCTGAAGCTAGCACCCAAAGCTCATCCGGGATTTGAAGTCAAGGATATCATGAACTCCCGTATAGAAAAGCCAAAGACAGAGAAAGCATTCCCCAACGTCGACGAACTCGTGAGAGTGGCCATAGATGGATGGGAGGAAGGGATTATCATGATTGAGCTAGTTCCTTCAGGGTCGCTTGGACCTGGTATTCAAGCTCTCAGTTGCCATAACGCAAACCAGCTGCATCTTGTTATTAGCGTTGGGCGAGGACTGAAGAAGCATATTGATGTCCATGCCAACTGCCAGATCATTGCGGAGACTCTGCTACATGCAGTGTCAGAAGCATTTATGGGAATGCCACATGAGCATGCAGTGCTCACCGGATCACTTGTTACAGACGAAATGGCAGAAACGACCAGACAGCAACTTCATGAGGAATCCAATACGGCAACTGTTACACGCTGGGCTAGAAAGGAACTATTGCGGCAGCTGTGTCTAGGGTTTGACTGTGATACCCAGTGGGAGCAATTACCGAAACAGATCCGAATTATGCTGTTGGACCGTTGTCTGGGGCGGCCAGGTCGGTTATCAGTCGACCAGGCAGAGTGGCTTCAAGAGAGACTGTGCCTTTCCGACGCCAAAACTCTAGATGTCCATGTTGCTCGCTGCAATCTTGGTGTAGCCACCATGGCCAGGATACTTGGCTATCCACATCATGGGACCGGCGGAGCCTTGGTCAAAGAACCAGAGCGTGTCGCATACATTCCACGCCCTCCACTCACAATTTCTAGCATTGTTCGTCTGTTAAAAGCGCCATTCAGCTACTTTTATCATGCTCTCGGTTCCCTCAGTAAATTCGTCATTGTCGCCCTCGTCGCCGATGCAGAGTTCCAGCGTGAATTGGACCATGTCATGAAGCACCACACAGTGGTTTATCGCGTTCCTGTGAAGCTTACATTGAACCTAATTTGGTGTTATGCCAAGATCGTGCAAGACACTTTCATGGTCTTCTTCCTTTTCCATGGCCGTGATGACGTCAAGCGTCTCTGGAACGAAACGAAAGGATTGACAATCGGAATCAAGAAAGCCAGTGTCATGATCCAAGGTCTTGACGGAACCTTCACTGCCTTCTGGCACGCAGGGGAAGATAACTGCTTCAGAGTCTTCTACTACACGGGAGAGCATAAAACTGAGCCAGACGACTCAACGCTCCTGAAATATGTCTGTACCTACTCTAACGATCTTCTTCTCAATATCAGACAGGAGCTGAGTTATGGTCAATTGGTCAATGAATATCACTACGACTATTTCATTCCTCGAAGAACTTCGAGGCTAAAGAAGAGCTTTGCGGCGAAAATCCCACTATCCCGACGTTGTGTGAACGGAGAACATGCGTCACAGCGTGTCCAATATAATCGCAACGGGCTTATTAGCTCCGGATCTTACATGAGGAATGGCAGTCTTGTGCGCTTCCAATACCGTTACCGCAAGAATCCTCATTTCGGAGACGAATTGCTTAGTGCTGAATTCTCCTTCCCCCATACTAGATGCTCGATCTCCTGGTGTGCACCACCTCTTCGTCGTTCCGAAAAGGCCAATCGATGGATTCCTCATGCCAAAGTCACAAGGGCAACCTTTGTCCAAGGCTCTGATGTCTATGAGAGTCGTTGGCTCTATGATCACAAATTCAATCCGGCGATCTTTACGACGCTCAATGGGGAGAATGTCAAGACACCAGCTTTCATAGAATATGACCATTTGGGGATCCTTACGAAGCCGAAACATACCAGCTTTGTACGCGACAATCCACTCCTCTATTGTGATAGTCTGACTACCAATATCTTTCAACGGTTCTTAGGCCTTACCACGAGGCGATTTCCTGTCTCGACATCACGCGCCCGTTCACTGATGTGGAAGGCATGGAAAGATCATGTTGATTTTGACGGCGTAACTGTCCGCTGGATGGATGATCGCTTGCTACGTCGCGACAGAACTCTTGCCCCGTATTGGCGCCGTCGTGACCATGGCGAGCTTGTCTCAGCAGAAACTTACCTCACTCAACATGCCGATACCATTATGGCCAGCGCTGATCTCAACGACAATGTATCTAGTTGGACCTCCCTGGCAGTGAAAATCAGCGACCTGTTCAACTTTGGCCCTGGAGGGGATGCTGTGATCAACACCAGAACCAAGGATTTTGGATCGGATACGGAAAACACGCTTCATGTGATGGCTGCTGATACTGGGACTTGGCCTAATGAAGGTGGTGGTGTTTCTGCGTGTCGGCGTGATATGGTCAATCATTTGCGAACGGTCAAGTGGCATATGATCTGCGAGTCAGCGAATGACTTTGGAATTCCTAAGCACCAGACTGAGCATAATGTCCAGTCGTTGAAGATTATTCCTCTGTGGGGGTTGGACTTTCTCACTCCAACGCATGGTCTGCTTAGGAATAAGTTGGATTCCGAGGTCGACGACAAGACTTCTGCCAATGAATTCGACATCAAACAGAATTTCGTCCCGATTCTGGCAACGCTGGTAAAGAGTTCTCGTGCTGTCAACCTAACTAGGGCTGACATTCGGCAATCTACTCGGGCACTCGTGAACTTGAATACATACTTCCAGGGCTCCAGACACTGGACACAAGTCTGGAACAGCGACATCGTCAAGAAGAGCTGGGGCGAGCTCTGGCTTTCTCAAACAATGCCCAATGCCATCCCAACTTCCTCATGGTTCCAAACCGAGCTCCCAACACTAGCATCCCTCGACATCGCCTTGGAACTCTGGTACCGCTACCTCTTCATCTTCTCAATCCCCGTTCCCAAAAAAGTCCCCGACGTCTTCCAAGCCTCCCACCACAGCGTAAGTGCTTCCTACGGCGTCGTCTGCAAAATGAAACGCGGCTGCACCCTCCAAATCTGGGACCACGCCATCTCCTGGCGAGAGGTCAACATCAGCCTCTCCTCCGCCCTCTCCAAACTCTCCCCTTTTATCCGAAATGCTCTATTGGGCTTAATGCGCATAACCTCCGTCCTCACTCTGCACCACGCAGACATCATAACTCCGTGCACGGACTTCTTCAATCCAGACTGGGAAGTCGAGATTGGGACTGTCCAGGGCACAATCCAACACCGCAACATCTTCCGCAGAAAAGTTGACCCCGTCGTCAACGGCATCATCAATATGCAGAAATTCGCCCCAGTCAAGGAAATAAAATCCCAGCACCCAACAGTCACCATGTTATCACACGTCTGGTACGCAAAAGATATCAAAACCGCCCTCCTAGCCGCAGACATCATAATCAACCATTGGCACTTCACCAACTACAACCTCGAAATCTACGGCGCAATCGACAGATCTCCAATGTACACGACCGAATGTCAAGAGATCATCGCGTCAAAGAGTCTTCGTGGGAAAGTCACTCTCTGCGGCACCGCAGACCCGCTAGACGTCCTGGAGAGAACATGGCTCTTCCTCAATTCGTCCCTATCAGAAGGACTCCCGCTTGCACTAGGTGAAGCCGCGTTAACCGGTGCACCAGTCGTATGCACAGATGTCGGTGCTTCACTCCGCGTCCTCAGTGATCCAGACGATTCATCGCGTTACAGCGCGGTAGTCGCACCAAATGACGCTCTCGCGCTTGCACGTGCCCAAATCTCCATGCTAGCTATGCTCGGTGAGTGGAGCCAGTATGCTGATGATCCTGATCATATGCCAGCACCGATCCTCACCTCCAATCCTTCACGCGAGGACGTTGAAAGAATCACGCACCGGATGTACGAGAAGACTCCGCAGCGGAGGAAACTGGGGATGATGACGAGGGGGATTGTGCAGAAATCGTTTGGTGGAGAGCGGTGTTTGAGGGAGCATGAGCAGATGCTTTGGGTTGGGAAGGCGATGAAAGTTATGAGGAGTCGGTCTAGGAATGAGATTGGGGAATGGGAGGAGGTGGATAATGGTGGGTCGGGGGGGGATGGGTGGGAGTCTCCGCCGGTGGCTTCTGGGAATGGCAGGTAGTATCTTCTCGTTGCTGGGGGTCTGATGGGGAGCTACGTGGTTGATGGTCTTGATGATTTTTCTTTTGATGGTTACAACGAAATTGTTTTTGTCCTAGTTTATGACTGATATGTTATGATTGTTCTTTGTTATAGCCTCCTCTCTACAACTGATATCCATCGCGCACATACGTACTTGATTTTCTAGACAGCTCGAAGGCTTTCCCCTTCCGTTTTAGTGCTCACCCTCGCCGCTTTTTGCTCACTGTGCAGACCTGAGCACGCCCTGAGCAGCCTGAGCTGATCACTGAGTAGGGGCTGAGCAGAGGGGTGAGTAGCCTGACTTAGGTGGCCTCAATAAAACGCACCACGCTAGAGTTCCACCTGTCTTCACTTTCTTTGTAGCACTTTTGACCGTCACCCCTGGGGAGTGTGCTCCTAGCTCTCAAAAACAGGAGCAGCCATCTTAGGATCCAGGCCAGGGCTCCTAGGAGTCTGAGAAATCCCAGGAGCAAGCAAGGCCGTGCGGAAAATACTAAGGGCATAGGACCAATTGTCACAGAGGCTTACTGCTTAGGATGACAATAGTAAATGATCCCTAAGAGGTCTACTATCCGTTGGCCCCAACTATAATCTGGTGTGGAAGAAGCGGGTTCTCTCGGATCGTAGCTCAGAGGGGAATTCGGGAGCAGATTATTCAGGACTAGCGAGGTCTATATGGAGAGGATTAGTTTGAACGAAGAGGTATATTGCCTAATGAATGTACAGAGTAAATGAGTAATTCATATAGAAGAGTTCCTCGTCGCCGCCTACCACCAACCAATCAACGCACTAATATCACATGCTCACATTCCTTGTGAAGCGAGTAGCTCGGAGGGATCGGGGAGTCGATATTCCGGACTGCACGAGGCCGTATATAGAGGATAATATCAATTGCCTAAGAGGGTGATATTGACTATCTAACACCGTAATGGATGAGTGCTTGAGTGCTTGTTTTACTATCATCCGACCACGGTAACTATTAAAAGGATCCTCCGACGTCGCCTATCGGGCCGACTATTTGTCCGTCTTGATTCTCATCACCTTGGCGGCAA